GAAGCGCGTGCCAAAAGCACATATTCAAACATTCTTCCTGGAACTACAACATAAATACACATGTCCCGAGCACTTTAGAGATGCCTCAAAGTCCAACACTTCCGTGTCGCGCGCAGCCGTCAGCCCATCCTTTTCGGAAGCCGGCCTACTGCATTCCGATACAAGAATTTTTACTGGCGAAGCTTGTGTGATACTTGTGGTCGTTAAACACATTATACAAATAAAACTACCGAACGCCATAATATACACATTATCCCTAAGCGTAGTAAAAGCTATGAAAACTCTTAAAGCGCACAAAAACATCGTTCTTGTCTCATTTTGCTCACTTTTATGCTCAGTCTGCTCGTCCAAACAGCATGTTGCAGTCTGCTGGGTACCAGGGCCCCGCGAAATACAAGGTAACACTTTGGTGGACCAGCTAGCTGGATCTGCCAACAAAGCCGCTACGAATACGTCGAGACCAATTTCTGCACTTGACTTGAGACCTTTTCAAAAACAAAATATCAGGGGTTTTCGGCAGATCACATGGGACACACACAGAGGTAATAAACTGCATGTTATGAAGCCGCAACTTGGTCACTGGCCACCAGTATAAATATTACGCCACGCAGAAGTGATACTTACAAGGTTAAGAAAGGACATGCATACACAACACATTCATTTCTTTTATGTGGTGGTGATACACCTTTGTGTAATAGATGTGGAGAAGTGCTCACCGTACTTCACATTCTGATCCAGTCTAAATAACTAGACACGCTGAGAAGACAACACTTTCCAATACCCTACCGACAACAGATACCACTTCACACTGTAATGTTCGTGAGTAGGGAACCATTTTTCACACATAAATCGTTGTTAGCTTCTTTGAGAGACGTACGTACCTTTCACGTGATACACATGCATTCCGTAGCATGACCTTTCCACAGAGGTCTCGGCTGTGATGGCTACACTGAACAAACACTTTCCCCGCGGTCCTTGGACGCAAGGGTGTGAACGATCGAGGCACTTGTGCTAATGCCCTACGTGCCCACCATGGTTTTCATTATCCCAAACTATCATCATTCATTGATACCACACATATTTCACGACATAGTCATGATTTTATTGACTATGGCATAGTCATATGGCATATTGACTATTGACATAGTCATGGTAGGTGTAACCTTAGGAGACAAGAAGAGAGCAGAGTGGATTAGGGGACAAACGGGGGTTAAGAATATCATAGTTGAAATAAAGAAGAAGAAATGGACATGGGCCGGGCATGTAGCGCGTGGACAGGATAACCGCTGGTCATTAAGAGTAACTAACTGGATTCCCAGAGAAGGGAAGCGGGTTAGGGGGAGACAGAAGGTTAGGTGGGCAGAGAAGATTAAGAAGTTTGCGGGTATAAATTGGCAGCAGCAAGCACAGGACCGGGTTAGTGGCGGAACATGGGAGAGGCCTTTGTCCTGCAGTGGACGTAGTCAGGCTGATAATGATGATGATGATGATGTTTTTGCCTGAATTAGCTCGAAGAACTTTAAGGTCCTTATACAGTCGCTAATCACAATCATTGTCCACATCTCTAGTCCCATGAACCTGCGCTCTTTGACCATCAGATGGCTCTTGCTCCACAAAACACCAAACATCATCATCAATACGCACGCAGTCTTAGGCTCTCCGCCGTCGCTTTATAGCCATTTGTTGGGCTAACTCCCGCCTTTTTTGAAAGGCGAAGCTCCTTGGGCCCGCACCACACCACCAAATATTTATGCAATATGAATGCTTCGCCGGCGGCACGAAAAGACAATGAAACGACCCATCAATGTTGAACCCCTGCGCCAGCGCTAGACAAGTGCGCCAAGCAAAACAACTGGTCCGCGCGTGAGCACAATTCGCTGCGACAGGAGCACACCTTCTTTATTGGTCTCTGCCATCTCCCCTGAAACCAGCGAACGCATCGCTTCGCCCTGTCGTCCAGCCAGTGGATGCTCAGTTGCCTTTGCTGGCTCGCACTGCGCTGCGCACGCTGCATACTCACTCGCTCCGTCGTGGCCGCCTGCGAATACAGCAGCGTCTACTCTCCACCTTACCGCGTTCATAGAAGCTAGCAGCGAGATGACGGGCAAATTCGTTTGCGTCCCATTTCTCAGGCCCATTTCTTTGTCCCATTTCACTTCGGTTTTATTCGCACTAGGAACAACTGTTATTTTTTGTTCTTTTTTAGTGGGAGTTGTGTGTAGTTGGCTTTGCACATATTCTGTGGCATATTTATAGCGAGAATAGTTTTTTGATAGTCCACAAAAATGTTGGTGGCACATGCCAGTTCACTTGGCTAAGTGTGGCTACATGAATTTCCACGGACCATTTGTGAGAAGCGGGATGAACTCACTTTTTGTGGTACATGCCCGTTTATAGTGGTGACAGTTTTTCGGTACCGTGTGAACAAGTAATGAGCTGCTTAAGCAGCTTTGCTGTTAAAAAATATATAGTGATGAGATAGACAAAACGACAAAAAAAGAAAAGTAAAAAGAAACAAGGACGGTCGCCCTGCTCCGTTGTTTATTTAGGCTTGACACCATTGATGGGAAGCTGCCACAATATTTTATTTTCTCTACACCAAATATAAGCTCTACAGGACCTCACGAGACCGACAACAATACAGAACAGTGAGAAGACGTACAAATTGCAAGTCAGTAAAGCTTGTAGGCGCTTATTTCTTGGAATGCGTGCTCTGGGATGATTTCACGAAATATGTGGCTTTCGATTATCTACAGTTCTAGAATTTATGACACGGGATTGACACACAATCAAAACAATTGATAAATTGACATTAACCCCAGTCTTTTAGAGCTGAATCCAACGTTTCGCATATGTTGTCCATACTGATGGTGATGCTGAAATATCTTTATTCTAGCCCAGAGAGGGCACAGGGGAGCCACCCGACTAGTTCCACATACGGGCCGCCAACCGAGCTTGGCAGCCCGATTGCGCAGACTCCGATTGTCAATTATGCAATTATTACGTATATACATGCATGGATTATCAGCTATTCAGAAGTGCTTAGGCACTTATCACCAACCTCCCGAAGGAACACGGTACGCGTAATTTAAACAGTTGTTTTAAATTTATGATTATCTTTCTGCGCTCTACATTTGGCTAGCAAGCTTTGTAAAATATAGGTAAAAGAAGCGTGTAGCGATTATGACAGCTCTAAATGGACGTGACTTTGAATAGGAGTGAGTGCCTGCAAGCAACAATAAAAAGTCACAGCAAAGCGAAACGTGCCTCGCGTTTCTCACGCACAAATGACGCATCAAACGTACTCACAGACATATGAGAACGCGAAGATAAGCGTCTCAGCTCCTACTTCGCTGTGTCTGAAAAGCGCGCCCTTTTCGCAAACGAAATGACCTTTGTGCACCCCAAAACTACTACAGAATCGTTTCATGACGTGTGATCCTCCCCACTGGAAGAGAAGGGCGCACGAGGGATCGCCCACTTCTGCGCTGTGTGCGCGTGTGTGTGTCTCTCTTTTTGTGTCCTTGTCGTGGTGCGCTGTACTCTTATAAATGATGATCCCCTCCTCTCTCTGGATCAAAGTAAGCATGAGAGATGAGACAGCTGCTGCACGCTCATTTTTACATCTTGCTGACAAGGGTGAAATCACAGTAGTTCTCCCTCCAAATGCCCGCCAACAGCGGTGAGTGGTAGATATAAATAGCTTGCCGTTTGACTGATTGATTGATTGATATGTGGGGTTTAACGTCCCAAAACCACCATATAATTATGAGAGACGCCGTAGTGGAGGGCTCCGGATATTTCGACCACCTGGGGTTCTTTAACCTGCACCCAAATCTGAGCACACGGGCCTACAACATTTCCGCCTCCATCGGAAATGCAGCCGCCGCTGCCGGGATTCGAACCCGCGACCTGCGGGTCAGTAGCCGAGTACCTTAGCCACTAGACCACCACGGCGGGGCTTGCCGTTTGACTGCTGAAGAAGATACCCCTCGGTGGCTCAGTGATTAACGCCTCGCATTCACGACGCGGAGGTCCCACGTTCGATTGTGCGCGCCAAAGCGTTTTTACTGAACTTTTTTCTTCGCGTTTTCATATATACACATACGTATACTTATACGGTGCATGACATCGATGCTGACGCCCACGTCAACGCCAGTGGCCAAATCTAGCCGAGAGTGTCTATATAATTCCTATCGCAATAAAAGGAGTACCTGCAGTGTCGAATAACATCCGTCGCGATTGAGTAGATGCAAATATGAGTGACTGAACAAAGTGAGTGGATTCGTGAACACCAGTAAATGTGGGGAAGAGTAAGTCTGAGTAATACAGAGGAAAAAGACGTCAGTGCGAATGCGATTATAAGCGTAAGTAGACGTCACAATAACAAGTAGACGTCAGTACGAGCATGAGTGAGTTCTGACCAACGGTGAGCGCGAGCAGCGTGAGTGAATGCGAGAAGCAAGTGGTGAATGACTTTTGCATGAAAGTGAGCACCGGTGATAGTGAATAGTGATGAAAATGAGCGTTAGCAAAGCGCTTAAGAATGAAAGTGAGTCAGAAGCTGTGCGTATGAACAGATGAGAGAATAAAAGTGAGTGAGCAGTTGTAAGTTTGAACAGGAGTGAGCGGCCATGAGCATGTGTATGAATTTAGTCAGAAGTTGTGATTGAAATTTGATTATGAGCGTGAATACGCGCGTATGTATCAGCGTGAGTTGGCATGTGTGAGTACATGTAATCATGAACATGAGTAGCTTGGAGTGGGAGTAAACATGAATATTAACGAGTGTGAATCGATGCGAGTATGTAACTGAGTACCTGTGAGAGTGAACACATTTATGAACACGAGTGTGTACGCATAAGTGTGAGTAGACATTTGTATGAACGTGAGTGAGTGTGAAGCGTGAGATAAATTAGCGTGAGTGGTGAAGTACGCTCATTCCATGTGCGAACATATGCCTGTATCATTCTCAAAGCTTCTTTGTTTTGCTCGCGCAGCCAGTTCGCTGCCAAGTGCGCCAAGTGTAGCCGGGCCATCGGTGCCTCCGACTGGGTCCGGCGTGCCCGTGAGCAGGTCTACCATTTGGCCTGCTTCGCTTGTGACGCCTGCAAGCGGCAGCTCTCCACCGGTGAGGAGTTCGCGCTGCATGACGGACGGGTGCTGTGCAAAAGCCATTACTTCGAGCTACTCGACGGGGCTTCCGGATCCAACGACGGTGGGTATACATGCAATACTCGCGTATACGAACCATCTACTTTTCTCAATAATATACCCTTCAGATGAATGGGGGACTCTTACTACCGTGGTTTCGTGAACGGACACCTTGGTACATCTGTATATACGCACACCGCAATACGACCACTGCTGAACCTACTAGCTCTGCAGTAGAACACAAAAGAACTGGGCACTGTCGTCATTGTTGCACCCTTTTGTGGAAAGCATACATTATCTTCACATCAATTTCGGTGTGGCCAGTTCAGGGAATTTCGGCTCGTACGAGTCACAGCTGATTGCATTTGAACACTGCCTGTAAGCATACGAAAACAAAAGACCTCGCACCATTCTGAGGGTGTGCTCCACAGATGGAAAATAACACCCCCTATAAATATCGAAAGTTATTGACAAATAAGGTTAGTTTTCTTATTCGTATATCTTCATGATATTTATTGAAAAGGAGGCTGTTGTCATAGGCAGGCTGAAAGAAGTAAGCGTGAAAAGTTTTCACTCAGAAGTACTTTGCAGCGAAGTATGTTGCGTAGTGTAAACGCTACAAAGAACAATCATGAAAAAATTACAGTGCCGTCACATAACGGGAACCCGGTTTACGCGCAATCGGATCAGTGCTATCTCTTTTTGTAGTAAGACGGTAGGTTGGGCCAGTTGGTTGGGATTCATCGTGAGCTTGTTTGCAGGGCAACACCAGAAACACAGGTGTTTTTGCTCTTCTCCTGTCCCGTGTTTCTGGTGTTCTGCTGTAAACACGTCTATCTCTTTTTCTATTGTACAGAAAATGATGGAAAATCACGTTTGTTTTGTGTAACTGTGGATAACTTATAGATGCGTGTTGTCGTGCTCCGGATGGCATCACATCGTGTCTAGAGCACGGGAATTGACGCCTTCCGAACGGAAATGATCTCTCACAGGTGACACTGACATTCACACACAAAGCACACGCGCCAAACTAGGTTGTTGATGAAACCTCCCGAAAAAATTGCGTAGATACCTCGTGAAATCTGGGATTCTGCTAGGCCTTGCGAACGACAGTAACTTTATTTTAGCCTTGCGACAGCCAGTATGGACGCCCAACTAATGACACTGCCTTCATTGGGCTTCCATACTGGCTGTTGGTCATTTTATAATAAGCGCCCGTCTTGTGACAGCCGCTTAAAACGTATGTACCTCGCTAGTCTTTTGTGCGATATTGACTTTTGTCCACATTGATGGCCGAGTGTGATTTGTGTCGGCCAAATCACGCCCAGGCTTGCACCGCTTGCGTCGCTGCTGCATCGTTCTCGCTCTGCGGTGAGACGACCATGTGGACCCGGTACTTCCGTAGCACGAACATATTCTGTAGCCAGTTCCGAAGGACAAGGCCACTCGGTTTTGTGGGAGGCAGCAACGCTTCATTTCCTTCCAAGACATGACCGTGGTAGCGAGCCTAGTAAAGGCGTCTACCAGCTACCCATTTGACCCAGCTACTGATCATCAGCACGAATTAAGGCCGAGCTTGGCTGTAATAGGTGAAAAGATTCGCCAACACATTCACTGTGCGTTTCATGGGGTATACCTGGTGCGATGGTGTCCTTTTGCCACACACAATATTCCATCCATTGATGTGACTGCTCGTGCAACGTGACGCTCCCACAGGTTTTTTTTCCCGAAGTAGTTCAAGTACTGTTGTTGCCTAGTAGGAGAATATTTGGATACCACACATAATTGCTAGATTAGATTTCTCGTAATGATGACTAAGTAAAAATTTGTTGCAGTAAATCTTCAGCGTGGTACTCGTAGAAGGGGCATGAATGCTTAGATGCATAAATTCAGGACTTGAAAGGGTTAACGCCGAAAAGGCTAACTGCTTTATTGTTTTGTCACTTCGAATAAATCATAAATCACATGCTGTCCGTAACTATGATCAGTTGAATGTTCACTGCATCTGTATACGTACGTATTCCTGTTTTTGTCCTGTCTTCTGCTCGCAGTTAGTTTGAAACTTTGTTGATTTTTTCAGTTGAAGCTGCTGCATGGCACGATCGTCATGTGAAAATAAGTGTCTAAAAGTTAACACTGCAGCACTTATGAGAGCAAGACAGAGTGGGGCGTACAAAGGCGTCATTTATGAAATGGCTACAAGAACGCATAGCGGTGTCGCAAACACATGTGCGGCGTTTTTGAATGCACGGCCGCGTGCGAACGCGTCAGCACCGCCACTTAGTCAACATTCACACAGTGCAGCCATGTCCACGAGAACGTCGCGCGATCTGTTGGCCAACGAAACATCGTCCCTCCAACGGATGTGTATCATGGGTGTTTGTGCTCTTTCAGGCAATTTATTTCGTGTCTCTTTAAGTATGCTAATTTCCACTCTCGAAGGGAACAATGGTGCCCAGACAGCATGGGCGTGCAGCTTGTTTCGCTTCTATAGAAGACTAATAGAGATAAGCAAATGAACAGGCTACTGCTTCTTCAAAAATTTGCAAGTGAAGATTTCGTCTATAGTAACGAATCTGGAGAAAGGGCTTTTCCACAAACAAGCAAAATTGTAACATTTATGATGCGCGGCGAGTTTGACAGCGAGACATAGTAGCTGCGTGATGAAACAACCTCTAGTTCTTCATCATGTGGTCAAACTCTGTGCGAACTATGGCGCTCTGTGGCGTGGCGCAGTGAGCACAGCAACGCGGCAATAGTAAACGAGGAGAGCGGGCGGGCCCGATCCACGAGTGTCTGTTAAACTGATTGACGCGCAAAACAGGGCGCAAACTATTCTATTCTGAGAAAGTCTTAGTTAAACTTGTGCTGGTGTTAGTGTCATGCGGTAGATGCTAAGTAGCATCCCCTCCGCACATATATAAAAGTGTGTCAAAGCCGCAGCCATCAGCAGTACTTCTGATTACCTAGTTTTCCAACAGCCCACGTAAAAACGTAATTTTCCTCCTTTTGTCGACCTAAACAGGAAGTGGGAGCCTTGTCTGTGCGATAAAAGTATCATACCTCATCAAAATTATTAGCTCCATTATTTCAGGTTGTGAAATAATGGAGCAAATTATTAACTCCATTATCTCAATTGTGAAGAGCACCCAGTTTTTTAACGATGACTAACCTTGCAACACTTTTTGAGCATGGTCAGAAAACACTGCCCACCGGTAGTAGAAGCTCCCGACAACACGCGAGGCAAATAATATAGCTCAGCACGCGACCTGAAATTCACAAAAATTGCTTTCTCTTCTCTGCCTGACTTGAACATGGCGCGCTCGTTCTTTACAATGATCGCCGCGTAAGGCTGCGACTTGTGCACGCATGTGCGCGGTCACACTAAAAAAAGCTGCGCATTTGAAAAAAAATAGAAAAAAAATTGTCAAGGTCACGAGGTGCACGTGACGTTTTTATTTGCCCCTGCCATTCCTTCCTACTTAGCTTCCAGCGGCTTCGTCGGTACGAGAGAAGAGAGAATGCAATTGCAGCATGCGACAAATCTTTGTAACTCCAATTGCACTGAACGGATTCTCAAAAATTTTGCGGCGTTAACTTCGTTAGGCAATGAGCTCTTCCAGTGCATTCGTTCCGTGGTTACTTAAAAAAGTGTGTCAGGGCCCCGTGGAGCAACGCCATGCATTCGCCAAACACTGCGACGCAGACAAGGTGCTTGCTGCAGTCACGTTGAAGTTTTTCAAGAAGAATCAGCACATGCACCTTATTATTTTATTTCCTGTTTCCGCCAGAGAGACACGCATTCAAATATACAAAAAGATTTTGCTAGAGTGGTCAGAAAAAAGTGCCATTTTTTTGCCCTTCACACCTTAATCCAAGCATCGAATCCACAAATATTTAAAACACTGTTTTCATTTAAAACACTGTTTTCAAATTGTCGAGATTAGTAGTGCACTTTGATTACGTCGTTAGGTAAGAGATATGATATCGCAGACGGTAAACAAAAACGTGTGACGGTGAGCTTGATTACGACGAACGATTAAAGTAACTAGACACATGCATTGTCACAGTTCTGTCGCCATTGAATAATGAGTGCGACCTTGCCACCAGCTTTCTTTTACACGCGGTAACGTAGCTGGTGAAGGTTGCGTTCTAACTGGAAATTAAATAATGTAGTTTTTTTACGAAAAACCTGTCACGCTGTATCACCGCATGCAGGGGTGAGCGACAGCGTCCATTTAAGGCAAAATACGCCAAGGGCTCGTTTCACAATTACCATGAGGGCCGACCATTGGTTGAGAACCTTACTCATCAATTGACGCACCAGACTGAGATCAAATATTGAGTCTTAGTAAAAGTGAGTCTGGTTGAAGAGAATTCTCGTTAGAATGTGCCTGAGTGAGTCTAATTGAAATAATATATACCGAGTTTAAATCAGAGTGAGTAGTATCAAGAAAAACTTGCTGAGTGTTACTGCGAAGTGCAAAGTATATTGTTTGATAAGTCAGAGTGAGTTTGACATATTTTTTTAACTTAAGGAGCAGACACAGTGTGGTGTTCATGAGTCCATGAAACGGAGTGCGCGGAAGCTATGAAAGATTTGATTGAAGACTATGTCAAAATATTTTAATACCCATCGTGTAACCCGTAGTAACAACTGTGGCCGCTTTTCAAGTAGGGCTGCGAAGAATAAAGAAGGTTTTCCTTGTCACAGTTCAATTGAACCGTTACATACTTACTAGTGCTCGGCGATCTCCATGTAGCTGCTGCAACGATTTGAATCAGTGGCTGCGGTGTTAAGCATGCTGCGCGAATATAAGGCTCGTTTCGGTGCATGTTTGGGAAGCAATCCACGAAAAATACACGAACTGATTTGTGTTTCTTCGTGTGCCGCAGAAAACAGCGAACAGGAGTGCGGGTCAGGAAGCTCTGGTGGTGGCTCAGGTGGAGGAGGCGGCTCCAAAGCCAAGACAAAGCGAGTGCGTACAACCTTTACCGAAGAGCAGCTACAGGTGCTGCAGGCCAACTTCAACCTGGACTCGAACCCGGACGGGCAGGACCTGGAGCGCATCGCGCAGATCACGGGGCTCAGCAAGCGCGTCACCCAGGTGTGGTTCCAGAACTCACGCGCCCGTCAAAAGAAGTACTTCAACAACCAGGCAAAAAAAGGTGCGCCTCAGTTTTCTCGCGCTTGAGGCCGCATTGCTGATTCGAGGACGCTAATTGGTCCGCAGTGTGTGGCAAGGCCGTGAATAGAGAGCTCATGAGCTCTGCCGTACAAACGAACGGTGCTGCCTACGGCACCCTAATTGATATCGGAGAGGCGAGAGCTCCCTATGCTGAACTTGATATTCGCTATTTTAATGCTTTTGTTTACTTCATTTGCTGTTATGCCTCTAGTACTAAATTTAGGAATGCAGATGTGACTTAGTGCCTACGTTTTAATTCGCTGCACACACAGACTATGGGCCTACTGCGAGTTCGCACTAACGTATAGCTAAGGGTGAGTTTCGGTGCTACACTCCCCCAGAAAGTGAGAACAAATGTCAGGGCTGGGCTCTTGTTGTCAAAAGTGCTTTAAGCGTCCACTGTAGACTATCTTATTCAGATTCACTTGATGCCACAGAGTAAATCAATGTTTTTCACAAAACATTGATGGTTCGCGCCAAAGCGACGAGGTGCCGTCTGGGCTGGCTGGAGAAACAGTGCTGATGTGGACACCTAATTGCCTTCTGCTACAGGGGCAACAACGTGATTAAAGTGATTCCCGGTGTGGTGTAGTGCATTTTTTAGTATCGCATTGTAGTAATCGTATGCATATTCTAAGCGTGTCATCGTGTTCCACGTGAAAACCAAATCGATAATTTCACCCCGCGTGTCGCACGTTCTCTATGTGCGAGTGAAGGCCTGTGAGGGCTCCCAGCAGTTGAAACTCAAGCGGGTATAAAACGCACTGGTCTTTTTAGTCCGGCGAATACGCGTATAAGGATACCACAAGGAAGAAGAACTGAGCGTGCTTGGCTGCGCTGTATAATTAGAAGGATTTCAGGATCGCTGGTACCATTTTTCGCTTTGAAATATATGAATGTTTATAGTACCTTTCTATATAGAGAGGTTCTTACATGACGGACACGAAAGGCGATCAACGACACAAAATTATTAATGAATCACTTGTTACCAGTGCTGCGCAATATATTGAGGAAATAACTACAAACAGGAAAACAGAATGACTCAACTCATTATATTCTAGGGAGCTGCTGCCGCAAGGGCTACTATATGCTATATGATAGCCCTGTGATAAGCCACGTAACTCATAAATCACCGAATTCAAGATCCTCTTAGATGTTTTTCATAGACTTAAAAAATGAAAACTCAGAAATTATGAAGTTTCGAAAGAAATTAGTGCTCATTTCACAAGTGAAGACAAGTCCATTTGGCTCCAGGGAAATTCCCTGTTTAACCATCTCTTATACACTTCAGAAAAAAATGGGCTAAGTACAGGCATCGGTACTCTTGAAGCTTTGCGTCATCAAGAACTACTTCGAAGACAAAATCTTAGGCAACATCTACAAATTTTTCGCAGCCACTTTGCTGCTTGACAAAAAAAAGCGATGGAATCACAATACAGAGAGGAATTAGACAAGGTGACACCATATCGTCAATGTTCCCTCTGCATGCTTAGAATAATACTCAAATGAATTGGCTGGGAAGGAATGGAAAAATCGACAGGCTCTGTTCTAGAAAGGAGGACACTGTTCTAGAGAGAAGGAAACCTGGCTGCACTTATGCAGATGAATGCATGCACACTTTTGTTTTCATCAGGTCAGTCCTTGAACGCCTCACGCGAGGTTTTATTGTTTGTCTTTCTCAAAGGTGGGCAGATTTCATCAAAGTACACAACACCAATGTAAAAGTCAATGTGCGCGTCTACGTACCCGCACGTCTAAATTATAGTGCGGTGATGACAGTGATAATAAGTTATTTCTAAACCTCTTCCAAGCGGTAGCACGTATTACACCATTGTTTCAACATTCATTGTGCGCCATTTCTTTGCTGTGCAGAAGTGGACGAAACCGTGTTTGTGCCAAGTGAATTATAGGGGCGCCGAGTCTCTTATAGGGAAGACCTCGCTCAACTCCGTTTCCACAGGCGTTCGCTTACGTAAGAGCAACAGTCCACTGTGGTGGTGTGATGGTTACGGCGCTTGGTTGCTGACCTGAAATTCGCGGGTTCAATCCCAGCCGTGTGGGTAACCTTTCGATGAAAGTGAAATACTGGAGGCCCCGTGTAGTGTGCAATGTCAGTACACGTTCAAGAGCACCAGATGGTCGATAAGTTCGTAGCCCAGCACTAGAGCATATCTCATATTTGTATCTAGGTTTGGCACGCAGAACTCGAGATATCTTTACTGTAGAAAAACTAGGCAAAGAGACAGCACCCGTTCTTTGTCAGGCTGTTCTGTTCTCTTCTTGTCGTCTTCTTCGTCTCATAAATATGCGCCTGAGCCCGATCGCCGCTTTGTCATCACTACACTACACATCGACATACGCTGGACACAATCTTTACTTTTGTCGTCCATGACGATTCACAATTGCGGAAACTTTGTGTCGTGTGGAAGAGACACGTTGACTTGCCTGCTTACGAACACTGGCAGCGCAAGAGTCCTCCAAAACTTGTTACGACAGTCAAGACCAGCATGTAACCTATGCTCCCGGTGATCTAGTGTGAGTGTGGACCCCAATACGCAGACGTGGCTTGAGCCAACCGCTACTGGCATACTCCGCCGGTCTGTTTGTGATACTCCATCGTCTCAGTGAGGTCAACTATGGAACTGCACACGTCACCACTAGTGGCCGACGTTCATGCAAGACAGAGGTGACGCATGTTGCCCGCCTGAAGCCGTTTACGCGAAGGATACAAAAATGACTTGCCCTGAGGGCTTCGTCGGAGACAGGAGAAATGATACGAAGTGTCACTACTAGGAAAAAAGGAAGCGTGGGCAGAGAAGGAAGACGACGTTGCTTCTACTGTGATCGCAGTCGCAGTGCTCATTAAAAACCTCCTTAAGTTACCTCACCTTACGTAACCATATTTTAAAGGACTGACGCGTACGTGCAGGTAGCATCGCGGCATATCAGCACCTAAAACTATACCGTCTTTAGGCAAAAAAAAAAAGCCATTTCGTACAGTGTGCCTCTGTACATACTTTTTCTTTGTCTTTCTTTTTAACGCTTACACCTGCTAGAAGCACGTTGCACATACGTGTATTGATAGAAATGTTATTACGATGTAGCCTAAAGCGCATAATGAAACGATATCGAGCACGTTAAAGAACCCCATGTCTTCGAAATTTCGGGAGCCTCCACTATCGCATCTCTCATAATCATATGGTGGTTTTGGGACGATAAACCCCGCATATCAATCAACGATATCAAGCACTTCATGCAGTGCAGAGAAAATGTACGACAAGCAACTAAACGCCCTTGATAAGTGATCACATCACTCACTGTATGAGTGATGCAGGCACTTACACACATCGCGCATAGCAGTGTGAATCGTTAAGTCACACGTTAATCGGGCATCTGCAACAGGCCCGCGAACGCATGCTGTTGTAAATGGCTGGCAGCCTACTTCGGCAGAGCTGCTGCAGACGCCCAGCTAGCGCTGTGTGAATACTACCTACGAAAACAGTACACTCACCGTTAACAGGCCCATGTTGTCCGTGTCCGCCGCTCTATGAATATTCCTTAATGCGAGCATCACTACGAACACGGAGTCATGCGTGACCACCATTGCAGATGAGCCTGTTCTTTGGTACTCACACAGTGACCAAGACCCCAGACCAACGCAACGCATTGGAAAGACGAATGAGACAAAAAGAGAGAAGAAGGAGGCACTGGCAGCGGCGTCGCAGCTCTTTTGAGTCTACTCAGCCGTTGCTGGGGCAACCCTGGCCGGGATGAGCTGTAAACCCGCAACAGGGCACCGAAAGGCAAGCGCTATGGCGCATACGGTGTTGGCTTCGACACGAAAGGCAATCAAATTGCGCTTCAAGAATGACTCCTTGGTAATGGCACTCTGCTTTCCAGCAGCCACGCATCGGCGCAGGTTAATTGACGGCCTCGCGTTCTTTGAGTATTTTTACGGAATGCGACTGCGAACAATAGTGAAGCAAAACTTGCGGAAACCAACCCTGGAACGGCCAGAAACGATAATTCTTTCGTCCTCAGTGGGATCAGTGAGAAAGCATCGCTACACCTTTTTTAAGATGAGTTCCTTTCCGCATTGTCCGTGTCTGGCAATTCCGTATATAGTGCCGCAAACACTGAATGCGTAGTCGAAGCTGGAACAAATCAATCCGCAGCCGCGGATGTTTAAAAAGCTTGTAACGCACCACGAAACGGGCTGAGGTTTTACCACACTTCTTGCTCACCACATGATGAGCACATAATTCCATATGGTTGCCCAATGAGCTAACTAAGCACCTGTAGCAAAGGCAGGGCACGTTCTTGTTAATTGTTGTTATTTGCCATTATAGATGAAACGCGATTTGCTTCTGCTGGCATTCTGCTGTATTCGGAGAGCACCTTCACACATGCTAAGTCAACTAGGCCGTCATTTAACGCAAGGTCCACATATTCGTACAGTAGCTACGCTGCTTGGCTGTCAATCTGAAGGTTACGGGTTCGATGCCGGCCGTGGCAGTCGCATTTAGACAAGGCGGAAAGGTAGAAGCCAGTAAACTGTGCGATATGAGCGCCCGTGAAAGAATACCAAATGGTCAAAATCTCTGGAGCTCTCCACTACGGCGACCCTCATAATCATATCGTGGTTCTTAAGACGTGAAACTCCAGATAATATAATTCCATGTGCTTCTTTTGCTGCATATTTCTTCTGATCAATCGTCACCTACACCCTTCTCAGACACAAAAACACCCTTAGAGCCAATTTTATGGTGCTATTGAGGCAAGCACCCAAATAAAGGGGTGCTTTTCTAAAACTCGATCAATTATGGGTGTTAAAGGGTGTTGCAAAAGTTGCTTTACCGTTAAAGCCCCCTTTTTACACACTTTTTGGTGTAAAAATTTTTACTGTGTAGGGGTGCCAATTCTGCTCATGCCTTCATTTAGTCGCTACTTTTAAACCATTCATTATTGCGCAGAGCTATGACTCAAAAAAGACACAGCTCTAACTGAAGGAATTATGACGCCATGCAGCGTTAATTTGGGGCTTTTAACGAAAGCCAGAAGTACAGTAGAGGCTCCATTATGCCTTTACTCATATAAAACGTGAACTGTAAAATATTAGTACGGGCCACAGAAGTCACCAGCCGCAAATGTCACCCACCACCAACGGCCACTATTTTTCCATACCGCCTGTGACGTCACGTGCAGAAAGGAGTGACGCCATGGTCTTCTACTTCGATTGCAGCCACTGCCGATCGCTCAGTTTGTGTGCCTAGCAGCAGCAAGCTCAGACGTCCCGATTTCACGCGCCGCTGACAACGGAAAATTACTGTTAACTGATCATCGACAGTAGCACAGCCAGCTGCTTGTTACATCTCGGCTAACCAGTGCGTAAGTGTTGCCCAACTTTCAGGCCTTTAGCGTGTGTGTAACAAGATGAAATTAGGTGCTCAACCAAACGCGTTAAAATTACTTCAGCCTATTGTGAATGATCAAAATACTAACCCTTATAACACAGGTTATATTGAAAAATTGGGTGCCATAACTCCTTTAAGAATGAAGCAATGAATGTGATAGTAATAAATTGTCATGGTATACGAAGTAAGGCAAGCAGGTAATAATTTCGCTCTATCTCGCATCAATGCACTGAACGCTGTACAAGAAATACGGCCACTCTAGATACCGAAGTGGTTTTTGTGGTATCAATTCTAAAAATGCGAAGTGAGCGTTTGAGGACTCAGCAAGTGTGCGAGTCCTTCTTGATGCTTGTTGAGATAGCGCGCACCAGCCACCGCGTCGTTCGAGCGATGAATCTCCTGCCACCGCTCTACGCTCCCTCTTGCAATCCTTAATGTTCCTTACAAAAGAAGGATATGATGCTGTTTCCTCTTTGATTGATGGGCAATCGACAGCAGGCCTCGCACGCTACACGTTCCCGTATATGCCAGGCAAGTGTCGGAGACGGCAGCCTCGTTTTGTTTCTGCTTCAGCTGCACTCGTCGCGAGTGATCGCGAGCTGCTCGTGATTATAGGGCATAGGATGTGATGAATTTTGACTCTATAGGGAAATAACGGCGACAATGACAGCGATAACTCATCGAGACGGTGCATGTGTAATTGCTATCGCAATAAAAAAATAACAACACTAACAGAATTCCAATTGATTGGGAATAGGCTAACCATAGTGTATACGCTTTCCTCTGGTTCCCCCTGATGCAGTGAACACAGTGAGTGGTGGTGCGGTGTCCGCTGGTCCGGCCTGTTCCGGTTGTGGCATGCTGTACTGCCTGTGCGCGCACCAAGGCCTGCCCATGGGACAAGTGACGTGACCAAGCGCTCTACCGGGACCCGGCCGAGGGTGCTCCAACCCCGCCACTTCACTTAGCCGGGACCCGGACTCGTGCGGCAACTGCACTGGTGCCACCTGTGGCCTCCGGTGAACGTACTGTGAATGGACAGCGTGATGACGGAACTCTAGTGCGCATGTGCGCGAGGTTTCGGTCGTCAAGCTGTGAGGTGTGCCGGTACATATCAGCACCTGTGTGAAACTGGAACTCGATCATTCGGTGTCGCAGTGCTGTGACGTGACCTTTTCACTCTAGCACCACTGACCCAGCGACCAAAAATGAGACATCCCTGTGATGGCTATAACTGTCGTTGGTGAAAGTGTGTCTTATAATGTTTTCACGTGAAATATATCGAATTCAGACGTGCGAGCGCACGTCTGCAGCGTTTCATAAGCCTTATAGGCGAGAACAAGCTAGAAATGCCGTAATTCGTTGCGCATTCCTTTTGATCACCTAAAGACGGCGCCTTATGTCGCAGACTGCGAGTGCCGACTGCCGGCCTAGTAGCGCGTGTTAAAGTTAGGTCTATATCATGTCGAAGCTACACAGATAGCAAATGGGCACTTGACCGCCATTACGAATGGTTTCGCGCTGTAAGTGAAATTGCTTCGTTCCTGTGGTGAGGGTAACCTGATTCTGTAGTCGGTGTTTGCGGTAACGAAAAGTATCCAAATACGAAGCGCTGAGATCACCACGGTGCTTTCCACGCAATTGTGAGAACAAATTACCGTAACTGACCGTTCTTTTTCATATGCATTTATCTTTTTTTTTCTTTCTGGAAACAAGGCCCTCTATAGTTACGAAACGCTTGCTTTCAAAGAGCACTCGCGCAGGAACCCAAGCGAGCACTTATTATTCATGAGCCGGCGCTGAATGCGAAGGAGTTAAGGGATATAACCCGCAGTGGCTTTCGCTTGAACTTTTGGTGCACCTCAGAGAAGCGCCGACGTCTGAAAGTGTACAAGCAAATAAGAATTGCGAGCTGTGAAACTAGATCACATATTATTCGCCCTTTGTTCCTTGCCTATCTGGTGTGTCTGTCTTTAAATATGCCTAATGTGGCTAGCTTTCATTTAGCGCACACTCACTCCTTGAGGGTTTGGTTTTTCTCGACTGTCGCCGCATATATTTGATATTAAGCACAGAGTGGGCACATCATAGTTCGCGAAGCGACGTTGGTCGAGTACTACGCGCAGCGTAGTATTTTATGGCGAGTTGTTCCACGTTGCATTTTCTGTTCCTCATGCGCAGGAACACTAGATTACGAATGTACATATCGGCGTTTTGATTCGGTTCTTCTCGCATGTAGAAGAATGCGAAGAGTCGTCAGTCTGGACTAATTTATTCCCTGCTGGTTGCGCATTGCTTTGCACGGCTTCTCGAGCGCCGACTACGCAACCAACCCCGGTATTCTAATACGTTCTTTGACAAAAAGCTCTGTTCCTCTGAGTGCCGACAACCCACGTCCCCGGTTTAAAAATGATTCTTCTCAAGAATAACTGTGGGGGAGTGACATAAAGCGTAGTGGCGATTTCCATCTAGGTCTGGCTGCCATTCACTCTGTCGCGTCCCGGCGAGCATTCTGCAGAGGAGCACATTAGAATACTAGGGTAAGCACTATGCCCCACGGGACTCCATTGCTCGAAATAAAGTATATCTGTTTCCGAAGTTTTATTCTGGACTCGTCTTCTCTCATCCGCCAATCACTGAACTTCCTACAAAGAGTGCATCGCAGGCCACAGTTCTAGGCGATAAGCAAGCCGTTGTAAGCTATACTCTTACCATAGAGATTAGCACACTATTTACTGCAGTAAACACTCATGCTTTGGTCATTCGGCAGCCGAGGGAATCGATTGTCGTTGTGCTTACGGCTGAGATTGCGCTTGTGGCTTTGCTTTTCGGTGTGTTGTGGCTTTTGTGTAGGATAGAGAAAATGGCTCGCAGTCAACCCCATAAGCGGAGTTGAACGGGTCATCCTAAAGATGTGAAGATCGTCAAGTGAGTCTGCTGAACTTTTCGTTAACTTCCTGAATTTCATCGCGCGACAAAGCACCTGGCACACGGTAGAAGACAGCAGGGTAGAAGACAATATCTGTACCAGGCGACGCCGGTTTTCCTGCCTTTTTTCAATTTGCTGGTGCGCGAGTGTGAAAAAAAGCAATTGCTGTGTATGTTTCACTTTAAAACAAAATAATCGTTACCACAACGTGCACATGAACACATTTATCGGTAAGTCAGTTTTTTATTTTTTATTGATTGATATGTGGGGTTTAACGTCCCAAAACCACCATATGATTATGAGAGACGCCGTAATGGAGGGCTCCGAAAATTTTGACCACCTGGGGTTCTTTAACATGCACCCAAATCTGAGCACACGGGCCTACGACATTTCCGCCTCCATCGTTTTCTTTTTATTTTTATTTTTTATTGCATATCATATAAGTAAAGCAATGAGCGGAAATTCATGGTTTAGCGAGAAGAATTTTGGTGATTGACATAGCATTTCAGCTAGTTCATCATTAGGCTAGGTTTTTTTTCCGACCATTGACACTGGACGTTGCAACGCATACACTTTATCCTGCAAGAGAGAATATGTTTTACTGCGATTAATTACTACAACTACCAGGTGCTGAAACTGTATAGGAACATCTGTCAGCACTTATAAAGCTAAATGTCCACAAATTTATTCCTTACTGGTAACACACATGGAGTTTCTACTAACCTAAAAAGAATAATAAAGGTCAATTGACATCAAACCAAGCGCGTTGAACGTAAAGAAAACCCACGCATCTCTCCACGAAGAGTAGATGTCTATGATGTCTCGTTGAAGTCGGGGACTGGTATAAAGAGCGGATGCACCTGATGAACGGTTCGACGCATAGACGGACAGATGGATAGGCAGACTTACAGTGCGGGTAGTTTTTCGCAGCAGTGCAGCAGGTGTTGTAATACGAGTGTGGACGCCGGTAAATCACCGGACAAGGCTAGCTCTTAAGGAGCTTCGGCCCTAAAAGTATTCACAATTCCTACTTTACTACAGGAATTTGCTGCTAAATGCACATGTCTGCAGAAATGACAACATATAGGTATCAACTTTGTTCCGAATTTCTCAGGGATCGTATTTTCAAACGTGTGAATGCAATCAGCGTATCAGTAAACTGTAATAATACAACATATTTTATTTGGTACTTCAGGATTTTAGACAAGAAAAAGCAACATGGCGCGGAAAAAAATGAACTTAGGCCGATCCGCGTATTAGCATCATTTTCATGTTGGCTGAAGCTCCATGCGGCACCGCTCCCATAGTCACCATCGCCACATTTTCCTCAATTGTGTTGTTTTGAGACTCTGTGACTAACACGTTCCGCGAAAGCTTCCGTGCACTGGCGGGTAATTGCTTCGAAGTAAAATGTTTACTAATTCGGTCCTTGATCTGAAGCAACGCGTTCCAGGACGCGCGAAAGATGGCAATGAGCTATGTCTGGCGCAGGTAATTATCTACATCGTCAAGGGGTGAAATGGCGACGTACTCTAAAATTTATTTCAGAGAGAGACATGTACACGATTACTTTCGATTGAGATACGATTGACCATGTGTGCACCAGTTCCTTGGATTGCCACTGACTGGTAGCGTACTGGCCTGGATATATCACAGTGGCAAGCCAGTGAGTTATGATACATTTTATACATGCGTTACGTTGCAGTGTCGGGTATTTAGTGCAGTTCTTTGGAACGTTCTCTGAAGCGACTCTGCGGAGCTTTTAGTGCTACTGAAAAATTGCTCATGAGATGAAAAATTAACATATTACCCAGCACGGTGGTCTAGTGGTTATGCTGCTTTCACGGAGACGAACGATGTACAAGTCACTTGAATCAAAGATCTCGCAATGTATATAGCAAAAAAAGAGCAGCGCAACATAACCAGCCGCTGTGGTAGAGTGGTTATGGTGCAGCACTGCCGACCCAAGGTCATGGGATTGCATTGTCGGCTGGTCAAGGTTAGCCGATCCTGGAGGTAGGCAAAACCACATGAGGCACAAAAAAGCTTTCGAGAGGAGTTGGGGAATCAGTACAATGAATACAATAAAACGAAGAAGATGGCTTTTGCCTTGGAGTTTTCTAATGTAAATGCCTAATAGACTGCCATAACTTCTGGCCTGGTGAGATGCTGTATTCGTAGGAAAAAGAGGGAGAGGCTGGTCTTTGCGTAGTTATTGTTCAACACATGCCATGTGCAATAGTGGTGCTAATGGAGGGGGGTGCACAGACATTTATTTGTGATAAAAAGAAATATGAAATAAAACATAGCTAGAATGCAAAATAAGTTTGCGAATGTTGCAAAAAAAAATTGAAATATATTAGGCGTACACTAGTTCCCACTTAACTATTCTTCGTGTCAGATTGGCTACAGAGATCGCGAAAAAGACACTGTAGTCTAAAAAAAAAAACATTTGGCGGCATACTGTCATGATGGGGATGGCGTGTGGCGTTTCATGGCGCAAAAGTGAGCTGATGGCCAAAGAGCGCGATTCAGTACACAAGAGATGTGAACAAATATATGGTATGTCGCGGTATACGGGCCTTCAAATTCCACGCGCTCGCGCGGGTAAAATTATAGAAGTTATGAAATCATGTCAGTATGCCCTGGCGCGGTGGTCTAGAGGCTAAGGAACTCGGCTGCCGACCTGCAGGTCACGGGATTGAATGCCGGCTTGTGGCGGCTGCATTTCCGATGGAAGCGGAAATGTTTGTAAGCCCGTGTGCTCAGATCTGGGTGCACGTTAAGGAATCCAGAGCCCTTCACTACGGCGTCTCTCTAATCATATGGTAGTTTTGGGACGTTAGATCCCACATGTCAAAATCATGACAGTGACGTAAAATACGTGCAGCGAGAGTGAATGGCGAAATATCCTGATAATAAACCATGTTGGAAATGTAGTCACCGTAGCCATGACCTTGGTGCAGAGGTCGTGCTACGGATC